TGAAGCGATGCCCGGCTGGTGCCTAAAGCAAATCAAGGTCCCTTCCAACCCAAACCCATTCTGACAGAGGTCAACCAAACTAGATGAATCTCTGGCAAATGTTTCTGGCAACCCTGCACCTAGAAAGGCCACATTTTAAGGTGTAGGATGTTTGGCCAGGTCTTAAGATGGGACAGGCCTCATTTATTTATATAAAGTGTCTAGAATTGTACCTTTCTATGCAGAGCATAGACAATAGCATGTACAACAGCTGAGATGTTAGTGCATCCTCTGGCAATTACTCCTCTTTCATCGGGTTCCCTGAGTGGCAAAACGCAGCTTCAGAGCTTGAGGTTCTGCGCAATCCAGCCCTGGACAGCTGTGACTTTGGTGTAGACACCAGGGAAGTATGGCCTGGCACAGCCATAGCCCCAGCTTGTGATTCCTGCTAGAAACCACTTCCCTGAGGGTTCTTTACATGCCAGGGGCCCACCTGCATCGCCCTGCAGAGAGAGAAAAAGGGTCCTGGATGAAGCCAAAAAGCCAGCCCAGCCCCCCCAGCTGTGAGCTGTTCTCTCTGGGACATAAGAGCATTTGCTGTCCTGTTCCCACCTCCCCAGGAGCCTGCTTCTGAGCCAGAGGACTACCCAGGGATGTACTGGCATGCACAGTCTGAGGCTGGAACACGAAGAGCATGTTCTGAGGCACAACAGGGTCATGAAACAGGCTCCGTGGTACCCTGCGGTCTCTTTTTTGGTATTACCTCTCTGCCTGTTCCCCTGGCCCGTCACAGGTTGGTGGGACAAGCAGAACCGGGTGTGTGCAGGATGGACTCAGATAACGGCAACAGCCAGGGGGGCGGATGGAGGCACAGCTGGGCTCGGGGAGGCAGGGCAAGGGGATAGAGCCTGGGGGCTTTGCACAAGTTTGCTCTGTCCCTGCGGCAGCTTTTGCTGCTCTTGTACTCACTGAACAGCTGTCGATGGCGCCCTGTGGGAAACCAGCACACACCATCCTGCTGCTGATCTGGACAGGGTAGAACTTTTTGCAGGCCTGGTCCCCGATAATGTTCACTGCCGCTTTTTGCAGATGCTTTGACATCAGACCTGAGGGGACAGGTATCACCGTTAGCTCAGTGCAGAGCACCCGAGACACAGCAGCACGTGTAGGAGTGGGATCTCCCGTGCTTGCCAAAGGGAGAGACCTGCGCTGGGAAGGTGGCTCGGGGCTGGTTCCTCCCCAGCAGAGCAAGCACAGGAGGGTCCCTGTGGCGGGTGGTTTGTCAGGCAGCTTGGCTGACCAGACAGAAATGGTCTCAGCGTGGTCCTTGCGCTGTAGGAGCACAGAGCAAGCAGCTGCTACAGGGATGGGGAGCACGGGGCTTGCACGTGGGAAGCTTGGGAAGGCTGCGAGAGGGCAGAGGTGCAACCAAATGGATACAGCGCGTGGTGGCTGGGAGGGATTGTGGGGACAGCAAACCTTGTCCTGCAGTGTCCCCTGCAGAGTCTGGCCTGGCATGGGGAGTGCTTGGAGCAGCGATGGGGGTCAGCGATGTTTGGGCTCGCGGGGTAGGGGGTACTTAGCTTGGCCATGATGGGTGTGAGGGAGGCTCTCAGCCAGTACCTCCTTCCTTCGTGGAGCCCCAGCCTGTGATGAAGCATGTGGCTCCCTCATGGAAGGTGTGTGAACTGTCTGGGAGACAGATGGGTTTGATGGTGTTGCTGAACTTAATGGGCGTGGTGAGCTCGAGCAACGCCACATCGTAGTCCAGGCTGTAGATGTTGTAAAAGGGGTGCTTGTAGATACGGAATATTTTCTCCATTTTGCCATCGATGCCACTCAGGAAAGGTGTTCCTAGGAAGGCCACCCACATTTTGGGGTCACTGTAACTGCAGAAAGACAGCAAACCTGGCTGTTAGGAGCATGGCCTCACAAGAGGGGCTGTTCCCCCACTCATGGGGCTGGGATGCACTGTGGCCACGCCCCGTGAGGCCAGGACCCCTGCCTCCATCACTCCAGGGGCATACCCAGGCTCTGCTCCCCCCATTCCTCTTCACACCCGTCTGTCATAAGGAGCATGTGCTCCCAGTGGGGCATGGCATCGCCCTGCGGTGCTGGGCTGTGAGGCAGGGGAAGGGCAGGGGGGCTGTCAGGAATGCGGCCACAAGCCAGCTGGTTTCAGTAGCCCGTCTCAGACTTACATATCAAAACAGTGGGCTGCAGAGAGCAGCCACCGGTCGGCAATGAGGACAGCACCACACTTGTGCTCCTTCCGCTGAAGCCAGAGACTGACTTGCCAGGGCCATTCTCCTCGAGCTGCAGTGCTGCCGCCCACGATCTTGCTGAAAGCCAGAGCGGTTGTTGAGCCACAGTCTGGGACAGAAGAGGAGGCACTGTGGTTTTACGTAGCCGTAAGGGAAAGGGACATCTTCCCTCCTTCCACAGCCTGTGCCCCAGGGCAGCCTTCTGGGGAGACAGACACGGGCAACAGGATGGGATGAATTCCATCCACCCATCTGGAGCACGGCCAGGCAGACGTGGGATTGTTTGGGAACTTTTGTTATCACACATCACACCTTCGAGGGATGTGGGACGTGAGGAGGGGATGTTGGGATGGGCTGGCTGAGCTGTCACACAGCGAGGAACGTGCCATCCAAGGGGCAGTCCCAGGGGTGACAAGACATCTCCTGGGCTGCCATGTTGTGCAGAGCTGTCGTGCCAGCTTGTACGAGCAGATGGACTGGCCAGAAGGCCTGTCTGCTGGGAAGTCGGAGAAGAGGCCGCGTTCCCTGACAGAAAATTTGGACCCTGCTCATCCAGCTTTATCTTGTTAGGACCAAGGAAGAGCTGGACCGGGAGAGGCTGGCCCAGGCGCCCAGTGTACAACTGGACAGCCCATGTGAAGCTGGTGGGTTGCACGGGGACTCTGGGCAGCAGTTGCAGGCTGCAGAGAAGTACTCACCACAGTTGCGCTCATCGAAGCCGTTGCTGCAGTCAACAATGCCGTCACATTCGGGATTTTCTTTTCCAATACAGACCTTGCTGGAACACTTGAAGGTGAGGCTGTTACAAGGCACCACTGGAAGGCAATAGCCCACGGCCTGCTCAGCACCCTCTGTCCTGGGGCTGGAGGCCTCCTACCAACATGTCAGTAGGTTTGTCATCAGTTTTACCTGGGGTTTGGGTGGCATTGGCAGGCTCGGTGGTTTCCAGAGCTGTGGAGGTTTCTTTCATTGTTGCAGTCATCTTCATCCCCAGGGTGGTTCTGTTGACTGGACTGGCAGCGGCTGTGCTGGGCTGGTGGGTGAGGATGGCTGCAGGAGAAGTTCTAGCGATGGCTGAGCTGGGAGGAGTGCCTGTGCTAGGAGTGGGTAACGGTGAGATGGTATCCAGGATCCAGTCTGTGAGTTTGGTGATTCGGGAGTACACACCGGGATTCATAGCCTGGGCACAGCCAATTCCCCAGCTCACGATGCCAGCCAGATAAAACACTCCTGGGGCCACCTCACAGGCCAAGGGGCCACCTGAGTCTCCCTGAGGAAGAAGCAAGGCAACGGCTGCTCAGCCCAGTCTCCCCAGGACAGTCTACATGGAGCTGCCCCTCAGCCGTAAGGGAGGACTTAGCTAGCCCCAAACTCTTCTTTCTCCAGCCCCACGGGGCTGTCTGCATGCAAGACTTGAGTGTGCAGAGGTTGAAACTGGAGTCACTGGCTCCTGGAAGTTAATAGCTCCCAACAGCAGCTTTCCATGAGTGAAGGACAGCCACCGCTGTCTTGCTGCCACAGGAGGAGGCCCGCTTCATTGGGGACTCCGGTCTGGTCAGACAGAGCAGTGGGTTTAACTGGAGGGATCTTTCTCTACTTTTCTAGAGCTCCAAGGCAGGAGGCTGGGGTACATGGGGATTACAGCCTGGCTGCAGCAGCGCAGTAAATATTTCCCAAGGATGTGCTGAGGCTGTGAGTTAGCCCAGGTTTCTGGAACGATCTACAGAGGAGTAGAAAAATCCCGGACTCTTACCTGGCATGAGTCTATCTTCCCCTCCAGGAAGCCAGCACAGATCATTCGGTCAGTGAGGGAGAAGTTGTAGAGGAAGTTGCAGGTCGTCTGGTCTATGATGCCCACAGAGGCTTTCTGCAGGATCTCAGGCTTGGTGACTGCAGGAAAACCACAGGATTAGTGAGTGCAGCAAAGCGAAGTGGGAACTAATGGCTTTTAGACTGACCCAACACCTATTTCAGGGAAATAGGCTCTAATCCCACCCGGGAGTTGAGTGCGATGTGAGCCACCCTCTGCGCAGCACTGCAGCTCCTGGCTTGCCCCGGGTGCCGTTTCACGCCTCTGCAAAGGACGCTGCCTGCAGGCAGCAAGTTTCTGTTGTCTTGTCAGCTTGTGGCCTCCTGGTCAACTGTTTGAGGGACAGCAGAGCTTCTTTGATAGCACACATGCCGCCCTCAGGCCTCCCTGCAATGGGATCTTTGCTTTTTCTAATTGCTTGGAACATCTTTGTGACTGAGCGTGGTTGCTGGGGCTGAGGCACTGTCCTGTCAGGCCACCGAGGCAGTGCCCTGCTCTTGCTTAACACAGGGGAGCTACTGGGGGGAGCCCAGCAGGTTCCTCCTGCTTCCTGCCAAGCAGATCTCTCCGTTTTCTTGTTTGCTGGTGGCTCCTAAATAACTGTGGTTTAAGGCAGTGCTCTGTGTGCCCTTATTCTCACTTGTTCTTGTGTTTCTCTCAGTTCCTGACTGTCCCTGTCCCTTGTCCCATATGCTCCCAGGACTGTCTGTGTGGCAGTGGCACAGGTTTTGCTGCTGTCTGTCACTGCTATGGAGCAAATCAACTGGTCACACATCACTGCTTACCATTCCCTTCTTGGAGGCTACCCCAGCCAGAAATGATGCATTTCTTGCCAACAGGAAACTTCTGCACAGCAAGTGGGAGGCAGATGGGCTGGATGTAATTGTTAAAGACGAGAGGTCTTGCCAGCTCCAGAACAGCCACATCGAAGTCCAGAACAGCAGGGTTGAAGAGGGGATGCTGGATCACTCGTGTGACATTGACTTTTACTGCAGTCCCATCTGTTCCATTGAGTGATGTTGTTCCCACATAGGCTTCGATCTCTTCTGGATTTGTCCTGCAAATACGTAAACCTAAACATGCATGCTCACAGACATATCCCTAGCATGAATTCTGGCATTTACATTGCAGACAACTTTAAATGATCAGTGTTGGAAGCCTTCCTTTGCCACAGCAGAGCCCAGCACACAGACGAGCAGCCCGGCTAAGCCAGGCCTGGGGCACGTGCTGGATGTCTCCTGAAGAGCAGGTAGACATGTAGTAATCCTCTCCTCACCTCCAGAAATTTGTGATTTCAGGGGTGTTCTGGCACACAGATGGTGTCTCTGTATTCAGTAGGTCTTGAAGGACTTTTGGGTTTTATTTGGATTTTTCCAGAGTTGTGTTTTATTCCTTTTTCTCCCCTAACTGCATGTGAATATTAAACATTCAATTTAATGACATTTATGAAGAACTGCTCCTTTTGATTGTTTTCCACCTTTTTATTTGATATCAGAAAAAGTCAGATGGCATTCCCTAAACACTTTTTTTGTACCCTTGGTAACTGTACAGTCCCTATCACACACTCCCTCCCCACCTGGTTGTCCCTTTTCCCAATTCTAGACTGATCTAGTTTGTCACGCTTGTTATGGGTGCTGTTCCAAACCCAGCTCATCCTCATGTCTTGTGTTAGCCTTTAACAGCGTTACTCTAGCACCACATGCGATGTTTGAGAAATCAGTATGCTGTGGATAACCAGCTGGTTAATCTCGGTTGTTTTTCTCATAATTACTGCCATTCACTTGCTCTTTAGTTACCACTGCCCACAGAACTGCTCTTCTGACCTCTTTTTCTGAATGGTTAAAACTGATGGAGACCCATCACCACCTGCAGACAGCTAGTGCTGCTTTTTTGCTATGTGCCTCACTTCGCTTCCTTGCATTTCACTTGCTGCTTTATTGCCCAACTACTTAATGCTTAAGGTCATGTTGAAACTCCTTGTAGTTAGTCCTCCACCTTTGCTGCCTTCAGGAATTTTTATTCTTGACAAACATTATCCTCTTGTTACTCATTTCTTTATCTAGGTTATTTGTAAGCCCGGGCTTGGGCTCCTGCTGCTTAACAGCACCATGCAGGACTGAACTGACCATCTTCCTGTAACAGCTGACCACATCTCTCTTTCCTCTATTACAGCCAAGTTTTAAGGTTAAATTTCTTGAAGAAACTCTCTTGTGGCACTTCTCCTTTTCCACCCATTAGATGTGTTGTCCTTGCTCCCTGCCCAGGCTGCTTTAACCTTTCCCTGCCTCCTCCCAGCCTCCCCACAAAACCCCGTTTACTGTGAAGCTCCAGCTGTAACAGGAGTTCATGTCCAACGTGTTTCCTTGTTTTTCCCCAGTGACTCCAGTGCCCCAGCGGTGGGTTTGGCTGCACGGCCGCGTGGAGCCACACAGCTCCGTGCCAGTGGGCAGGCCAGCTGAGCAGCGGTGCGAGCAGGGATGGACTCTTACTCATTGAAGCAGTGAGCTGCCGACAGCAGCCAGCGGTCCCCAATTATGGTGGCACCACAGAAATGCCTCGAGTCTTCTTTCAGGCTGACTTGCCAGGGGATCTCTCCTCTGGAAGCATCCGTTCCTCCGACGATCTTGCTGGGTTTAGAGAACCCAGGTCGTCCTCCACACTCTGAACAAAAGCCAAAGCACAACTTGTGAGTACTCCTGGCAGAAGACAAACCAGGAGAGACTTTTGCTCTCTCTGACCAACCAGTAAGTCTGAGCAGGGACAGGTCAGGGATGAAGTGTGGCATCCCTGCTGGTGGCCACACGCAGCCCTACGTGGGCTTTCACCCCAACTGCTGTTCTGCATCTTGCTCTTGGCAAGTCCTTAATCCTGCACCTTTCTTAAAGGCAGAGTAACCAGCAGCTCTGTGCCTCTTAGCGTTGCCGTTCCAGATAAAAAGTTAATCCTACATTTAGAAGAATACCCTACGTCTGTATCTCCCTGCAGAGCTGCTGGGAGGGCTCCTTGGGGCTGACAGGTCATCCTAGAGACACCTGCCCTCCTTCCCTTCTGGGAGAAGATGCATGGCTGCTGTGAAGTTGCACCCACCAACTCTGAACTGTTGGGAGATCCTTAGGTGGCAAATAAGAGTGAGTGGTCAGCAGGTTAAACCATGTCAGACGCTGCTGTGTCTCAGTGCGCTGTCCTGGGCCTGCTGAAGCAGACCAGTTACACAGGCAGCAGACAAAACTACACCTTTGGTTGCATAAGCAAAGGAGCCCATGAAACTCACCTGTGCAGGTACCGAGTGATTTTGCCAGGCTTCCCTGGGCTGAGCTGGGGCAGCCAGTGTCCCTTGTGCCTTGGCCCTTAGCGCTTAGACAAGGGCTGTGTGGGTCACCCTGCTGGAGGTCATTTCAGCTCAGCGAAAGAACAAACCTGACATTTGAACCTGTTCCAGCCACAGCCACTCTTCCTCCCAGGGTGCCCCCATCCCGCAGGTGCTCGTACCTTCTGGTCTCGATGCAGTCACGGGCTCGCTGGCAGCCGGGGCTGGGGACGCGGTGGGGGTTGCTGCGGTGGTGGTGGCCTTGAGCTCTTCAGGGCTGACCATGTTGCTGTTAGTACTGGACTGTATCGGAGGTACAGGATGGTCCATGGAGGTGGGGAAGGCAGAAATAGCATCCAAGATCCAGTCTCTGAGTTTGGTAACACGTGTGTAAACCCCAGGCCGCCTGGCTGCACCACATCCAATTCCCCAACTCACGATTCCTGCCATGAAAAACTTGCCAGATGGTTCTTGGCAAACCAGGGGCCCACCAGAGTCACCCTGCAAGAGAAACCAGACGGTGAGCTCTCCCTGGGGACGCTCTGAGCTTGCCCTGGCCACCCTCAGCACACCTCTGCCAGACTGTCTCTCTGTTCCCATGTGCCCCAGCTGACCTCTGCCTATTTTCTCCAGCTTAGTGATGAGCGAAGCATCTCCTGCCCTGGCGCTTGGGTGCTCCTCTGTGTGGGCGCCCTGTCCTGCTATTAAGCAGTAGCCTTGTGCCCTTGATATGCCGGAAGAGCACAAGGACATCCTACGTAAAATCTAGTGTAAGCATGTGTACCGGTTTAATCACTTGTTAAACTGCAGCTCTTCAAGGTTAAGCCCAGCAGCCCGTAAGCAGCCAGCTGATGGGTGTTCGTCGCATGCTATGCCACCCAGGAAGACCATGCTAATCTTTGCATGACATTGGCTTGATGTGGCCTATGGTTCCCTGGTCAATTATTTGGTACTGTGGGGCCATATGAGTGTCACCGATGTAGGACATGGGGTGTCTGTGAGGCTGACAGTGCCTTCTGGGCGCTGCATTGCTCTAGGTGAGTAACAGATAACCAGATGGGTCACGCTCATCATCCAACCTCCAATCTTCCATTCTTGGCCCCTTCTCCAGTGTTCGTGCTGCATTTGGTGCAGAAATCAGAAGCTTGACCACCAGAGAAGGGTGCAGGTGGTGGTTGTGGGTGTGAAAGGACTCTGCCAAACCACAGGGACAGCCACGGAGACCAGCCCTCCCCTCCCCGCACACTGCGAAGGGCAGGATTTTCTCCAGCTGACCACTTGCAGTGCCAGGCTGGATAAAGGCTAACCAGGGCAAACACCGAGTTGTTCACCAAAAGCTGCTGGTGTGTTTCAGTTTCCACTGCTTCCCTTTGCCATCTGGGTTTTGGTCTAAGGACCGACCAGGTTCATTGGTAGCACCAGCCCCGATTGCAGCTCAGGAAGCAGCGAAAAGGAGTTAAATACCTAAAAGAGCCCCTTAAACAGCAGCGCCCTGCTCTAAGCACTAGAGAACACATCTTCATTTTTGTCCTCTGCAGTCCCTGACCTGTGCTGGGGTCCAAGGCGTAGCCTCAAACCTTGCCAAGGGAAACCTGTGACCACGATGGCAGATCCTGCTTATTGAAGTGCTGCTCGGTGCCTGCCAGGAGGGAAAAGCCTCCTGCGGGGAGGTGTGCCGGCTCCCCCGGGTAAAGCTTACCTGGCAGGAGTCGATTTGCCCATCCAGGTAGCCAGCACACATCATCCTGTCGGTGAGGGCATTGGTGTAGAAGGTGGAACACAGTGCCTGATCCAGCAGCTCCACCGTTGCTTTCTGCAGGAACTCGGGTTTCACCACTAAACGAGAAAGATGCGACCGTGAGCTCCCTGCAGAGAGCCCTGCACGGGACCAGCTGCCCGTGTCACAGCCCACCCCGGCTGCCCAGAGCACGGCCCGAGTTCCCTCCTGGGGTGCTCCTGCACCACTCACACCCCCCGTGCCTCTGCCGCATGCCACGCCTTGCTTACGGAAATCCTCCCGGAGGTAGCCCCAGCCGGAGATAAGGCACTTCTTGCTGGTGGGGAAGTGATGGCCAGCGTCTGGCAGGCACACGGGCTGGATGTACTTGGTGAAGGTCACCGGCCTCTTCAGCTCCAGCACGGCCACGTCGTAGTCGGCCGTGTCAGTGTTGTAGGAGGGGTGTGGGATGATCCGTGCGATGCCCATCTTCACTGCACCGCTTTCTGAAGCTCTGAGAGAGGTGGTCCCCGTGTAGGCTGCCCACAT